TCTTTGTATACACTAATGAATTTGTTAACACTTTTCTCAACATCAATAGTAGACTCAACATGACAACATGTAGTCTAGTTATGAATGTGTGAGAAAGAGAGTAATAACTAAATAAATGCCTATTTTCTATACACACAAACCTGGCTATGACGTTATTTGTCCCCACTTACCATGCTATACTTAGGTGGTAAACACGGTCGACGGGCCCCATCGCATGTTATTTCAAACAAGAAAAAAATAAAAATATTCTTCTAGGTACTATAAAAAGTGAAAATTATCACTCTATGTAATTTTAAGCCGAGAAGACTATGGGCCCTTTACACACGTGGGCCCCGGGGACTTGGCCCCCCTGCCCCCCCTTAATCCAGGATTGCCACTGGTAGTACCTAACAGTTTTTTATAGATAATTTTCTTTCAACTCCTAACCATAGTTATTATTAAGCTATTGATTACTTCACAATTTATCAAAATTATAATATAAATAACAAAATAATTTAMTTGCCTTTTTTTGTTCCATCATAATGTGTTAAATAATTMTATTCTTTAGCCTATAATAGGTATAGCCGGTATAGGTAATATAATTTTATAACGAAATATTTTAAATTGGACAAAAACACTTAACACGTATGTGAAAAAGTTAGGAAACTACACATCAACTTTATAACAATTCAACTTTAAATAACATGCACTGATTTTTAATTATAATAGGTATTGAATATAAATAATATAACTGTGTTCTCATAAATGAACATAACACAAATAGCATGGGTTATATGTTATATTTTATTAAATTAATTGATGATTTCGGTTCCAATAATAGCCATAAAATCAACCAACATAGAAGGACAACAATACTAAAAATAGCTATTATAAATACATATTATAATAAGAAAACTTGGGTATATGGTTTTACACTCACAAATATTTATAATKATACGCCAATAGAAACCTGATAAGTAAAAAACTCAGGCCTTTATTAAGGTGGACAGAGGAACGAGGAACCGCGTATGACGTATGTAAATGAATCCAAAATATAGGCTTTCAATATAAAAATTTTTAAATGTTAAATGSTTCTACTTTTTAGTCAATTTATAATTATAAGTTAAATAGTCCAATTTTTTCGCTTTTTTTACAGTATGTAACAAATGCTAAAGAAATATTCGTAAATATAACAAAACCTATATGAAACTGCCCTATTTAAAAGGACGCTTCACCCACATGTGTTGTATCCGTTTTACAAAACAAATGTAAAACATAACGAAAACTGTTTTGCGCGGGAAAGAACCACTCATGCAACCAAATTTTCACACTATAAAGAGGATATTTACTATCCATTATTATTTACTATATTTACTATCCATCGTTGTTTTTAATTTTTCGATATAACAAGTACGAAAAAAAAAATTTATTGTATAAGAATTCATTATTTTTGAGTTTTCAAACTTGAATAACTTTTTTTAGTTCTGATATCGAAAAAATAAAAACAACGTTGCACTGATTAATTTGATTGCTTAGTTTTATTTACAGCTTGAATGATTCTTTCCCGCACAAAAAAAAATTTTTGCAATGTTTTACATTTATAAGACGGAGACAAGGAGACAACACGTGTTATATACTTATATTACACAATATTAATTTTTCTTTTAAYTTAATAAGAATAATATACTCTTTTTCGAAAATGTTGGATAAAATAATTATTTTACGTATAGGTAGTAGGCACTACATTTTATTGAATAATTTAGTTTAACTTTTAAATAATTCTTTTTATACACATTCGTCATTCGTGTAATGTATTTAGCTGAATTAACAGAATGCTTATATGTTGAAATAATAAATTAATACCAATATTTGAAGTCTGAGAGACTAACTTAAGGTATTTTAAATATATATTGTAATATGTAYGGATGCACAACGGAAAAAATATTAATAATGTAAAAATACAAAATCACCATTTATTGGGTATATTTATGAATGTCTCCAGTATTTTAATAAATTTGAATACTTATTTTAGTTATTTTTATAATTTAATCAATTTTTTTTAAATTTTCAATCGGAATTTTTCCATTGCTACATTTACTTATTTATTTTATTACATTTTATCACATCTTTTTTAAATTTTCACCAAATATTAAAATATTACAATATAATTTATCATTATGTATGATGTGAAGTTGGCCCCCCATAAGTATTTTTGTTTTTACGGGCCCCACGAAAGATTGCAAAGTATTTTAAATTATCTTTTTGCAGCTCTATACTAAATTAAAAAAATAATTTTTTAAATTGACAAATAAAAAAATACACTGCAAAACTTTCAATGTAAAAAATAGAAAAATATATTCAGTAAACTTGCTGCAATGATAATATATTATAGGTAAAGGTAGGTAGGTACCTAATAAAAAATATGTAAATATAAAAAAATAATGGAAAAATCATATTATTTTTCTTTGAAACCGATCAATCCATTCTAGTTGAAAGTGTAAGGGACCATGACATCAAGTGAGGGAAGGGCTTACATGAAGTTGTCCCCCCCCCCATAAGTATTTTTGTTTTTACGGGCCCCACGAAAGATTGCAAATTTTTTCCCGATACATGCAATTAGTTGCATAAAAATTGTAAAATTTTGATACCGGTTTTAAGTCTGTGAGTCCATGTAGGGGGGCTGCGTGAAGTTGGCCCCCCCCATAAGTATTTTTGTTTTTGCGAGCCCCACGAAGGATTGCAAATTTTTTCCCGAGACATGCAATTAGTTGCATAAAAATTGCAAAATTTTGATACAGGTTTAAACTCCGTGGGGCTATGTGGGGGGGCCAACTTCACGAACGTAGATTTTTGTTGTTAATTACTATTACGTTGATCAAGCTCGGGCACAGCACTATCAAATTAATTTTGGATTTCAATAATTAGAACACAAAATAGATACTTTTAATAATATAACGAATTTATTGATATCTATTCTATATATATATGTATCATCCTCACTTAATTCGTCTACATTATCTTCATTATCATCATTATTATCAACATATTATGCGACATTAATTGGATTGTAAATACTACCTGCAATTCTTAAAAATTCGGTAAATGGATCGACCGGAGCCGGCAGGCGTAGGGAGCAACTCTACTTGTAAATTGTCAGACCCAAACTTGCTCCCTATACTTTAATTAAAGCGTTATGTGTAGGTACGCGTAAAAACACAAAATTTCAAAAATTGACTACTTCGAAACTAAATCCGTCTGATAAATTCTGAAACCACCATCGTTCTTAACTCATTAATAAAAGTTTCAAGAAAAAAAAAATAAGCGTAAAAGACGTGATAAACGCAGCGTTGCGCTCATGTGTAAAAAACGCAAAATTGCCAACTTTTAAAGCCCATAACTTTGAAACTAAGTTTGACCGACAAATTCTGATTACACCATCATACTTAAATAGTTAATATAAGTATGTTCCAAAAAAAAAATTGAAAATTTTGAGGGGGGGGGGTACTCCCCCCTCATGAATACTCGAAGAAATTGAAGACGTCGATGGAAAAAATTGTGCTTACAGGAAAAATCGATATAAATAAAAATAAAAATTTWAACGGAACGCTTAAAACCATAACAATGTTGGTTTACTCAAAATTTAAAAAAAGGATTACGTCTAAAAATTTAATTACTCTAAATAATATGCAACATTATCACATACATTTTAAAACTATAGTTAATATTTATACCACATTTATTTTATTTGAACTATTGTATAGTCAGGAAAAAATAATTTACTTACAATATAAGTTGTTTCCGCAGACGCAGATTTCATAAGCGTGGTACTTAAACTTGAATCATTTGCAAAAGAATCTTTATTAAAAAAAGCATTTATTCGCGGGAGTGATTTTTCTTTTTCAATACGCTGTGATTTTAATTTYCTTTTTAAACTTCCACTTAAATGTACACTTTAGACATTATTAATCGACGGTATTCGATAATAATTCAAAATAAAATTTCAATACCAGTAGAAATTTTACTTACCATTTATTTTGCATATTTATTGTACATATAAAGAAAATTTAATAAATAAAAAAAAAATAACAAATAATAACATGCACGCAGCACTCAAGACGCAAAGAAACAACAATAATTAATCAACTATGATCACAATTTTCAGCAATTAGCAATACTAAATATAACTCGATTATAAGCATCGATTATAAAATACTAAGAATGCTATCTGCAATTCGTACTGCAGACAGCAGTTGTTCGTAGTTGTCGTGGTATTGCTATTATGACCACGAAGCGCATTCAAATAATATTAGGCGATAAGCCATAATAGTTTATTTAGCCACACATTCGAAGAACTAATATCGTATGATTATACGTCGCCGCTGTACAATTTTTTTCGTATTTTTCATAATCATATTATTTTTAATGTACCTAAGTGGCTAAGTATTATTTTATAAAAAAAAATGTTGAATATTTTTTTTTATGTAATGGCTACAGGTCCTGTGCCTCCCACCCTCCACAACTTGGACTTAACTCGGGGGCCCCAGACCCCAGTGGCCCCGGCCTATATACGTCACTGAATTTACAAAATTTAATTAATTTCCATTTCACGCTCGTTATATTACAGAAAAATGCGATTATAAAAATGAATAACACAAAATTAATTTTAATAATAGAATATTGGCAACAGAGGCATTCTGAACAACTTCCATAAGCGACAATAACTAAGTTATGAAAAGTTTAGCGTCACGACAAATAATTTAAGAACTAGTGGAGAATTGGAGGTATTCCGACGACGACGTAAAGGACTGTTTATCGTTTATCGGTCGGTAGTGTCCTTGGAGGKGTGCAGTACGGGCGGTATGTCGTGTACTGTCACGGAGGTTTTGACCGTTCGTCGTCCGACCAGGTGGCGCCGTCCGCTGCAGCCGACGCCACTACCGTTATCTCATCGCCGCGGGGCGCACCACCGACAGTGTCAGCCAATCGCGACTGGAGTCTCGTGTTTACGACCGATCGCCGCCGCCGTCCAGCACGACCGCGTCGACTGCCACCAGTGCCACCACCGCTAAATCAAACTCATTGTTGTTATTATTATTATTATTTTTATCAAGTCCGATTAGAAACGTAYAAACTCACGGCTGTGTACCGCGGGAAGAGTTTTTAGCAACGAGACTGTATTGACGAACAGACTAAACGACGACATTGTCTACAAGTAGTCTACACGGTTGGCGAGACGGGTGACCGACCCATCGAGCGGACACTCGCAGAGTCGGCGGTCATGTCGCGAAGCATGTAACTTCGCTTGGCTGATTAGCGTACCCGATAGCAAGCAGCGCTGTGACTGTTGTCTCTGGCCCTGTCGTCACAACACTCACAACATCACAACATGCGCCCGAGTGGTGGCGTCTGCCAAAAATTCCTGTTTTCTAGTTATTGCTTGACGTTACAGCTTTTGTTGTTAATTGCGCCGGTGCGAAGTGAGTACATAAACAATGAAACAGTCGTACATAGGTTGTCTTCTAGACACATTGACAGCTTTGTTTATCTTCTCAACAATTACACACTACCTGTACGATGTAATGTTTTCACTATGCCTTGTCAACGACTCAATGATGATKATATCAGTTCAATAAATTTAATACATCAACTCTTCGTAATCCTTATAACACCTAGCTCTTCTTAACATCAAGTTTTTTATAATGTTTACAATTAGGTATATTCTTACTGTTTGGAATCCAATGTTTATTAGTTTCTGTGAATCCTACCTAAAGAATCTTAACTTCTTATTTAATTACCTTTTTATAATATTATATAACGTGAATATTTTGACATGAGGTTGAGACTTTAATGCCAATAATTTTATCATTAATAAGTAGTAATAAAGATTATCAGGTAAAAAAAAAATAATAATAACTAAAAATTAAAAATTTTATATTGAATTTCAAATTCTTGTATGAATCAAAATATATATATATATTTTGATTCATACAAGAATTTGAAATTCAATATAAAATTTTTAATTTTTAGTTATTATTATTTTTTTTTTACCTGATAATCTTTATTACTACTTATTAATGATAAAATTATTGGCATTAAAGTCTCAACCTCATGTCAAAATATTCACGTTATATTTTAAATAAGTTTTAATTTAATTATAATATTATAAAATTATCTTGTTATAAATATAACAAGAGTACATGAGATGTATATATACATCACATAATTATATTATGTTATGTTATGTTTAATTATATTATGTGATGTTATCTTACTAAAATATTATTAATTTGACATGTAAAATTTGTTATCAATAGGTAGTGTAAGATTTATAATAGAACCTAATGATATTGTAACAACTGCCGGCAAAACCATACGGTTGGATTGTGAAGCAAAGTTTGATAGTGTTGCTACATTGCCTCAAATTAGATGGAGGATTCCTGATGGACAATACTTTGATTTTATTGGAGACACGAGAAGGTACAGTATTATCTTTTTGTTTACAATACCAATAGCTCGACCAATAGTTTTTTATTATTTGTTCTCTTTTTCTATAAAGTACCTATTGATTACTTTTATTTGTTTATAACTTAAAATTTGTAACAATAGGTATACCTACTACTTCATTATAATTACAAATTGTTCTTTAAATTTGTTCGTGGCTATACCATATTTCTGTTAACTAGGTATGAGGTAGGTTACTTAATAGATTAAAATATTTTTTTCAAATATAATTGTTTTATCTAATTATTAAGTTAAGTTCAGATTTGTATGTTCTAAAACCTTAAAATAGTATGCAGCATCAAAAAACTTTGAAATAGGTATGTACTTATTATATGCAAAGTTATGTTCTTAGTTTCTCACCCATTATATGTATATATATTTTTTGTAATTTCTCCATAAATAATAATGCAAATAAATTTGGAAGATAAACTTTAACTTTAATTACAGACATCAACTTAAAACATTAATTAAAGAACGATAAATTTTTAAAAATGTATTTAATCTTCTTTTACATAATTCGATGGTGTTTTGTTATAAGAGCGTATACCACATAATTGAAATTGTTCAGGACGAAAAAAATAGTGTTTTTTTAAATAATACCGTTAAAATAGGTTGATCTCGGATGTACCTTCATTTAGTAGATATGTTGATAATTTGATAAAACTTATCATTCAAATGCTTAAACATATATAAAATATAGTTATTATCATTCAAAGTGATAGTAGTAGTGGTATGCGCCCTTCTATAACATAGATTTTCGAACGCCCATACGTCAAAGCTGTACACATGCGGTATACGCCCTTTATACCAGTTTAATATTTTGAACGCCTTATCGTCAAAAGTTATTTTGTGTGGTTTAAGCCCTTTTAGCGTTAAAGATTTTTTGAAAACCTGTACAACACTTATAATAATCATTGTTTTTATTTTACCTAACAATAATAGTCAATAATAATAATAGTATTATAATTTAAAATGTTTGGAAGTCAATTAAAACAAAATTATTTTTAATTTATTTTGCTAATAATATTATAAAAAAYAAATATATAATGTTAAAAATCAAATAAATTTATTTATCAAATCATAAGTATACTGCTTTTCTTTTAGATGATTTTCTTGTATCATATTTTCATCTTCGGTTAAATTTTCTCTGTTATTGTAAGCTTCACAGTGGGTGAATTTGTCTTTTTTAGGGACATATTATATTGATCTCTCCATACTTTTTGAAATATTGCCCTTGAAACTGTTATGTTATTATTTAGTTTACAATCTTCAACATAGATTCTATAAACATGTGCTAAGCTCTGAAATTCACTGACAATGTATTTTTTTGTTGAGGAACTCCTGCAATAGTGTGAAGGTACAGCTGGTAGTTTATTTATAAATGTATGAACAGTTTTTATATCTTCTTCAGAGGTTTTGTTATAAGCTGATTTTTTACCTCTATCATCTATCTTTGATAAACCTAAATCAACTTTATTGTCCCTTGTAAATCTTAATAACTTTTCAGTTATATTCAATGTATTCAATAAAAACTTTCTGTAAACAACTTTGGTAGTTTCATTAATAGTTAAAGAATATTTGTTCACATTAAAACGGTTACTTTCATGAGTAACATACTGTCTCTTTGCATCATACCTCTCCATACAACATAGTAAGTAGTCTCGTTTCCTAGTATGATCAAAATCTTTCCAATATCTATTAAATATTGTTAATCTTTCCTCTTCTGTTACAGTATTACATTCATTAGTACATTTTTTYCATAAACAAGGGTTTTCTTTTATAATTTTCTTATCAACTGTTACAATACTCCCATCTTTTTTAAGTTTCTTATAAGACTCGCCATATAGTATACAACTTTTCTTATTAACTCTGGCAGCTATTTTTCTTTTCTTCACTCCATAATCATCTATTTCTTCTACATTAAGTAAAGGATCATCAGCTTGGATTTGGTCAACAACATTATGTGATGAACTACATTTAACTGCTCTAGGTGACACATATTCTTCAAATGAAATACTGCCTGATATATTATTATCATTATTTATTGTATAATTTTGATTGTCATCTACCACAGAATCATTATTATTTGCTATAACATTATTATGACTGATTCTAAGAAAACAAAGGTGTCAATGGCATTTATGTCTATACTATTTAGGTCATCAAAACAAATATTATTGACATTTTTTTCTGTTKTAGTGGAATTTTGAATATCAACTGTTGAAGTTTTTTTAGCAAAACCTTAAAGCCTTTTAGTCCTAGATGAGATCATGTTATTTATTACAAAGTTAACTAAACTATTTAAAACCAAAAAACATTAACAAGCTACTAAATTAGTAGTAGGTATTATCAAATACTAATACACAATATTATGTAGTATAAGTAGTATTATTTTACAACAATTTGTTAATCATGACTAAATAGATGATTACCAGCTATCTATGATTATTAAGTGTGATTTTTCCTCTAAATTCTTATCAATAAAACAATGACACGAATTTGTATTCTTTGTAGGTTATCTGACGTTTAATTAACTATCACGTAATSTGAACCATAATATCAATTTAATTTTTAATTTGATAAAAACGTGATAATTCAAAACTAGTTTGTTTATTTGAGAAAACCCCTAGCAATTCCTGTGGTATAYGCCCTTTTAACATTTTCCGTAAAAATATATATAAATTCTTTAGGGCGTTTGTATTTGTTAAATCCGCTATATAGAGAATAATCATTATTTTTAACCACTCCAATATTACAGATTATACTCCTATTTTGCTGAAAATTTTGATATCAAAAACTCATTTTTTGATTTTTTGTGGTATACGCCCTTTTAACAAAACACCATCGAATTATCTTGTATGAAACACACAAAACCAAGACATTTTATATAAAAAAACCAATTCAAACAAATAAAATCTTTTAGTAAAAAGAGTCAACTATAATATATTTGTCCTKGTGTCATATTTGTTTTTCTATTACCGACTATATTATGTTAATTAAAACTAAACAAACTTTCCAAATTCACTGATGTGAAGCATGCTTCATGTTGTTCACAGGGTAAGGATTGAAGTTTCTTGAAACTGTATTTCATTGTTTCCTGATATAAGTCCTATTTGTTCTAGTATTTGAAATCCTTTATTTTTGTGTTACGATTGAGTTATTTTAGTTTTTATTATAAAACCTTTGYCAATTTGGTAATTCTGAAATTGTATTTTTCATAATCTCTAGTGATTGTATCAAAGTTAATTTTTATTAATGCTAAATCATTTTTTAGTGTAGGCAGATTCAACATTTTTTTTGCAACATTGCACCTGCTGAAATATCATTGCTTAGTTTTTCTATTAACGTTTTAATCCTTATAAAGTTATTTGCATTAAATATAGCTGTTTTTATCCATGCACCCCTTCATATGATCACCGGGTTTGGTGGCTGTGGCGAATTGAATATGAGAAGATGACTAAAAAAACTTCTTTACATAGGGGAATAATTTTTTCACTTTTTTGTCACTCTGTTGCACAGAGATTAATATATGCTATACATGTTAATTAAATTATATTTGGGTAAAAAAACTGTTTATGAGTCCTGTTTTGTATATGGTGCTGCATTTGATAAAAACAATATTAGGTTTTCATTGTTTCCTACTGCAGGCTATAATACTTTATGCTGTCATAAATGAACCGTGATACATATTATGACTTAAAAAACCTTAAATTATGGATTCACATGAATTAATACTATTTTTATGCTATGTATTTATAAACATTAATTTGAGTTATAAAATTATAAACGAAATTTTAAAAATTAAAATAAAATATTTAATTAGTGTATTAGCAAAAATATATTACTAAAATTTTAAATACTTCAAATATGCAAATATTAAAAAATTTATTTGGTGTCCTTGGTGATTAAAACAATTTTACAGCCCACTGATAATTTTATTTGTATCTTATAATAATTTGTAAATGTTATAAAATCAGAACCTTGTTTATTATGGTACCTATTTTTAAATAAATATGTTTTTGGTATGGATACTATTTTTTTTAAATGGAAGATGCCAAATTGTATAYGATTAGTTTATTGTCATAATGATAACATATTGTCAAATACATATTTATGATTCATAGATGTTTTTTGTCCAATGAAGTTATATATACGTCTGTAGATCATGTATGTTGTGCAGGATATCTGTACATTTAATTAGTTCATTCAATTTTAATTTCACCCCACCTAAAAAAAAAAAAACAACCAAATATAACCTAACCTAACCAAATATATAACTATTTAAGTAATTAAAAATGTTCAATTAATACAATATTTTTAAGAATTTAAATTATATTTAAAAAAAATTATTTTTCTTCACAATAAATTTTAGTTCTTAAATTTTAGTTTAATATTATACTGTTTTAGATCTATTTTGAAAAATGGGTCTCTGCTTATTCAAAATGTTTTCAACAATGACGAAAAAGATATTTCTGAAGGTTTAGAAGCATATCAATGTGTGGCGTTTGTTGATAATATTGGTTCTGCTGTTAGCCGCATAGCAACTGTGACTCTTGCACGTATGTCTTATTTGTTGAAGCTTATGTTTATTTATTTATTAACGATAATTGAACAGGTCTATCACCATTTGAAAAACAACCGACAGATCTAAGACTTCTTCCTGGACAAACAGCACATTTCTCTTGTGTTATTAATTCCCAGCCTTTACCAAAGATAACTTGGTTTAAAGACCATTCACCGTTAGTAATAGATGCTCGTATGACAATATTCCCATCAGGTAAGTTCATACATTTTGTTAAATCTATTATTAATTTTGACTTATATTTAATATCACAATATAACTTTATTTATTTTTATGTTATATAGGAGCATTAGAAATTGATGATGTTCACAAAGAAGACAATGGTGCTTATAGATGTAATGTTACTGGATTGGATAGGCATAGATTAAGTGAYCCTGGAGTGTTGACAATTGTTGAAAATGAAGGTTATTTCTAAAAAACAATATATATTTAATTTCTACATTTATAATAAAAAAGAGAGTAAAGTATAGTTAACTGCTTTGGTGTACATAAGGTTTTTAGTGTGTTTCGTTATTCRATGAACAATAATTACCATTATAATTATATGATAAATCAATTATGAGCAAAAAAAATTATTTTAATAATATAAAAATTATAGCAAATGTTTGTATTAGATTCTGAGCGATGAGTGTATTCATTTTAAGATTTTGTGTTTTTTGTTGCGTGTTTTCTCTCTCTGTTCAAAATAATGCTCAGATCGTTAATGTGTGGAGGTTTTTGGTTAAATTAGACCTAKTTGATGTGTTTACAAAATTATTGAGTGAATTAGGAAGTTATGGAAATATTGTTAAATTTAAATTTAATGATCAAAATAATTGTTGGTTAACATTGGTTGAAAAAAGTTTGGCTATCAATTTATGTTTTTTAAATTTATTAATGTTAAAGATATGTTAACTTGATCAAAACATTTTTTTTATGTTTAAATTTGGGTAAAAATTAAAATAAGAGGAATCAATTAAGATAAAACTTTTAAGTGACATATAATATTAAAAGTACCTACTAAATCCAATTTTCTTTGAAAAACCTTCGAATATAATAGTTTAATAATCAGAGCATTTTAACTTTCTTGATTTAAAATCATCTAAATATGGTAATTAAAATTAAAAAAATTAAAAATTAGGCGTGAATAAGAAAATACTAAGAATGTCACTCAGTAATAATAAATAGGTGGCTAATTGAAGTTAGCTTTGATGTAATATAGATTAATTTGATATTATGCTCAAAGTATAATGATAGATACATATTATTTATTTATTTATTTTTATTACTATCTAATGTATTAAAAATTTGGTTGATGGCTCATTAAGAATGACTAGCTAAGTAGATGCAACATTTGGAATTTAAAAATTTTTAAAAATTATTAAATTGTCAACTGTTCGAAAAATTGTGAATTTAATTAGTTATATTTTTGTCTATAAACAGATTTCTGATTCTGGAAAACAGAATTTCTTAGTTAGGGTCTTGTTAGAACCATATTTGCTAGCAAAAGTCCTATGAAGAGTTTTAGATCTTTATCTTTAATTATTCATTCACTACAGACCTTTTAAGTCATAGATAAGAACTAAGTAGTGATAAAGCTATTCAATTTGTTTTTACATTTTAAAATTTCTGAAAAGTATGTTGTRAGTTCCTTAAAAACAATACATTCAATGTATTAAAAAAGGGTTATTTTATTTCTTGTAGAAAAATTTTATAAAAAKACAAAACAACTAAAAACACGCATTCACTCCGTTCAGAATCGAAAATAACTAAAAATGAAATTCAAATTGTATTATAATTTGTGTAGATACAATAAAAAGATTTAAAGCTCCAGAGTTTGTTGCTAAACCTCATTCAACAATAGCTTTGGAAGGATCAATTGTAACTCTTGATTGTGCAGCCGTCGGGAATCCACGACCACAAATTTCTTGGTTAAAAGGTGGTACTCTAATTGATGTAGCGTAAGTATAAGTATATCAATATATTTATTTTTTTAATCTATTAATTACGGGTTCCTTTTTATTTGAMTTTGAAAATTGTTCAGTTACACGTTTAAATTGATTATGATACTTTTGAAAGTGAACACTATGGGACATTTTGATCAGTTTGAGAGGGAGATTAATTCCTTTCACAATAGCATTAAAGTTAACTAATTACTAGCAATCATACATTTGTAAAATCTACTTTTTTAACGTTTCAACCAAATTAAAAAAAAAAAATAGCTATAAATTAAAAAAATATATAACTGGTTTTAAGCATTCTGAGTACAAACTTACAAACATATAGTGCTATAAATAAAATAATTTCTGGACATCTACTAGTTGCGAACAAAATTATTTTCAGGTGAATATTGTAACATTATAATAGCAGATATGAGTTTTTTTTTTATAAAAATCACGTGAGTTGCGGACTTAAATATTTCCCTTCACCACTTTTTAAGGACTCACACTTTTTAAGCTATCAAAAAATTTTTAAATGCCTTTTTTATAAATTATTTTTATTATTTATTTACTTACCGTGATAAGTTTTATAGTTTTTGTGGCTAAATTTTTTTTTGAAACAGCCTGTATAAATGATAATATACTGATTTCACCATTTGAATATACCTACATTTGTTTGCTTATAATATCCTCGTTTTCAACAGTTCTTTTGGTTCATTTTAAGTTTCGTACAGCAGTACAATTCGTTTTAGTATAGCTATCAGTCTGTACTTAATTTAAGGCCTTGATATTGATATATATTAAGGTGACTGCGATGAAACATACCGTTTAGTTTAGTATGAAACTTTCACAAGCATTTGTGGTTCATGAAGTAGAAGAAAAGTCTGCCCATATTTCTGAAGGAAACATTGTAGAATCTGTATTTGTTTGGTTCAAATAAACATAATCTGAAAAATTGTGTATAGCAGTAGGTACAGTCGGATCACATATAATTCACCGCGCGACTATTCACTGTCAACATTTCACTGCATGTATAATTCATCGTGGATATAGTAAAATGTATTAATAAATAAATAATAATATAATAGTATAACTATTGTTCATTTAATTAAAAATTATGAATTAATTTATGCAAATACATTTACATACTGTCCAAAAATAAAAAAAATATTACAATATATTACTTATATATAAATTATGAACTATACCTCTTAAGTATTTTTCGGCTATTCTATTATGATAATCATCATAATCATCATAGTCTTTATATTTTCTTTTCATTTATTCAATGATTTTTGTACAGAAATACGACAGATATTAAGCAATCACGAGTAAAGTTGTCACTAAATTGATTAAACATATTTTTGACAGCCGTCACAATCTTAATGCTGATAAATAATCAGTCCAATAATGTCATTCGTCATTTAGATATAGGTTTATATCTTTTATCTTCTGTTCTTATTGAAAAGTAATTTCCCAACGTTAGAAAATTTGACYGCAATTAGTATGTTATATTTGAGTCCTTAATTCGTATGTTACCCTTTTAGATTTCGTCCGCTACTCACATGGTTTTTGTCACTTTATCCACAACTATGAAACACCATAATTTTCATACCATTATGCAATTCACAGTATTACATTCATAAACAGATTATTTTGTAATTAATGTCCAATTTCTAGAATGTTTACCTTTTAATCTTCTGTGAATGTTGTATTATGGACAGAGTGATGAAATGAACATGGTGTTTGAAAAGCAGTTGCTTCTCTATTTTTTCAACATTTATTTCCTTATGTTCCCAACATGAAAGCAAAAAATGTATTACTAAATAATAATTATAGTAGACAAATAGTAATAGTTACAGTTTTCTTTTTCTTCTCAGTTTKAAGGTTCAAGCATTAAATATTTGGTATTTATWTTCAAGTGTTTAAAAATTCCATATCTAATTCCATGTCTGCATTATTCTATTGACAGGTGTCAGATTAAATTCATTTTTTGTGAATGTTTGAATTTTTTCAACATTTGATTTGATATTCACCCTTAAATTAATAAACTCTCATTGAACGATTTTCTTATTTCGTTGTAATTATCTTTTTCTATACATGATATTATTTTCATCATCAATCATATAGAATATAGATAATWAGAAATTTTCAAATATTTATTGAGGTTGTTTCTATAAATCTTGATTTTTTTTTCTCCATTCAATAAGCTTGAAAATTTAACACAAAATTTTTAAAATAGCAATTAATTCAAAGATATTTACAATATACACATTAGTTTTTTCATAATTATTATATAACAATTATATAATTACAATATACAATTATATAACATAATAATATAACATTTTATTAAAATTCATTAAAATGTCAAAAATGTACTGGCAATTTAAATTACCATTTTTATAGATGAGAGCTTAAAATTTTAAATAAAGTTTCTCATAAGTAGTTAAATAATTAATCATTTTTTGAAATTTAAAAATATATTTAGACTAACCGACAGACCTTTGCTGTTATTTATTATTTTTTTTAGAAAATTATTCTAATACATAATTTATACTACAAGAACTTAAAAAAATTAAAAATTAAAATAATAGTGCACCATAATTTTTAATAAATTAATAATAGAAATAGAAATTAAAGAAAACTGAACGTTAATAGTGTTTTACTTTAAATTAAAAAATTATAGATGTATTATAAATTAAAGTATGAGTAGAAATATTTATGACTATAAAAGTTTTTCAATTATTATTATAGACATTTGGATACCCGGTTTAGCATAATTGGTACTGGTGGCTTACAAATAACACAAGTGAATAGAAATGACGATGGTAATTATATTTGTCGAGCAGAAAATCATGAAGATTCTGCTGATGCTTCTGCTACGTTAGAAGTTCATGGTAAGTAATAATATGCTTGGTAATGCTGAATAATTTGAATAACATTTAATCTATTAATTAAATGTTTTACTTTGACATTATTGCTTTAAAATAGAGTTATAATGAATAAAGCATGAAAAAAAAAATTTAGAAAAGATTATTCTGCGAGAGTGCTAAATTTACAGTATCTAAGTACATTTTAATACAATGCATTAAACTATATTTGAATATATTTCCATATCTTACAATTTAAAAATACTAAAAACAGTTGTAACTATGTACTGGTAACCAGTGTTAGGTAGTAATGTAACGCAATGCAAATTACTGTAAAAAATTTACTTTTTTAGTAACGCAGCAGTAATTTTATTATATTATTTTTCTTAAAGTAACGAAAAAACTTTTTAAAAGTAATTTCTATCAGTGGCGCCGATCCCTATATCCAGGTATTGCAGTTGCAATACCTATTAAGGGTGGGTGGGTGTAAAAGAAACACACTGGCTAAAATTATTTTAATTTATGAAAGTTATAAATTATTTTATTTATCATCATTGCTAACAGAAAAAAAAGGAGTTTGATTTAAAAATTTAATTTAATTAAAATGAATTACAGTTTACGATTTATGAGTAAACTACCTGTCTTTATACCTATTTTGTGTAAATGTATACAATTGAATTGAAATATATAGTCATAATATAATGGAAGAGATGATTGTACATTTACATATTTTGTACATAATAGGTTTATCATCACTAGTTCTATGATTGTAAAATATAATATAACATGATAATTTAGTCAAAAGAATTGAATGTGGTTAAATAAAAATGAAAATTTTTATCAATGATAAAAAAAAAGTAATGTTATTTGTAGCACAYTACTTAATTTATAAAAAAAGTAATGTAAAATGTTATCCTCAAAAATTATTTTTGGATGATTTAAAGTATTTTTATTTTATTTTGGGAAACGGCTGCACATACTGGATATATGTAGTTCAGTAGCGATATTATTAATTCCTTATACAGTAATAGTGAACATTAATAGGATGTAATACCCGCATGTGTTGTCTCCGTTGTACAAGTGGGTAACATAACCTTTTTTTATGCTCAGCAGAACACGTGTAGCTCTATTAGTTTAAAATTTAGAGTGAATTGACCTCTAATAAAATTTAAAGGTAAGATTATTATCTAGACAACTTCATAGGCTTTTTATCATATCTTAATTTTGAATTGAGTTATGAATATTTTAAGATGTTAAAACTATTTACAATTTTAAAATACTTATAACTCGTTTCAAAATTAAAATATGATAAAAAGCCTATGAGGTTGTCTATGTATACCAATATTGTGGCATGGTGAGCAGCAGTTGTACGCTCAATCTGTGGAAACGCACTGAATGTATATACCGGCCATAGTTGCTGGTTTCTGGATGGGCGACTACCCGGGATTTTTAGCAACATATGCTTGCCATGTATACACWAATACGTGTTACAACCTACCAACTCAAAAACCTACAAATAAATACACAAAAATAATCCCTAATCGTACCACCCCATACCCAATCACTATGTGGCCGAGGGTTCCCTCTAATAAAAAAAATATACAAACTGATAAATGGCTGTTTTTGTTCACTGCAACATGGCTTGGAAACGTATGAATGATAAAATATGTTTAAAAAATTTACAAATTAGTGAAATATGTAAATTAAAATTGGGAAAATGTATTGCTTAAATCTTGATCATTTCTTATCAAATTGTAAATATCTTATTATAATAATTAAAAAATGTATTAATACATAAATCCGTTCCCTATTAAGATGTATTAAAGCAAAATAAAATAGTGGTCATTAATCCCGCATAGTATAAAAAAAATTTATACGGGATAAATTTAAAAACTTAAAAAATGTATGAACTACTACATGGTAACAACATACTAACTCTGGAATTATACTCATTGCTTTTTTACTTCTTTATTTGTATAATATTGAAAATTATAATTCATCATTAATTAAGTATTTATATATAAACTTAATTGCACTACAAAGTTTTTGCAGCATTTTAACATTTTAATTGAATATTGTATCAACTTCAAAGCAATTAAATGTATTATTCATATATATATACTATATTATATTATCCAAGTTTAGATGCAAGAAACTTAGTTTTGGCTGTGTTAAATTGATACTGATAATTTAAATATATTAGGAAACAATGAATAATGTAGGTTAGATTATCACCAGCGAAACCTTTTTTTTATTTTGTTACTGCCTTGCTAGGATTTCTCTCTTAATTGTATTTAATTTYATTTTGTAATGTAGTGTAAGGTTTACACATTGCAATTTTTAAGTTGTTTTTTGAATTCTTAACTATTAAATACATTTATTCATATTTATAGTTAAACCAATATTTATTCGCAAACCTAAAGATACTATGGTTCTTGAAAAAGAAGACATTACTTTGGAGTGCGAAGTAGCCGGTAAACCTCCTCCAAGAGTCATTTGGCTAAAAAATGGTGATAGAATTAAACAAGATGAATACTTACAGTTTGTTAGTGGGTGAGTAATTATATTTTGTATAAAATGTTAACATTATCGTAGTTGAATAATCTAAAGTTTTATTTTGTTTTATTTAAACTGAAATTGTAGTAATTATAATTAAAGAATACAATGAAAATAAATTAAAAATCTGTGTACAATATATTAAAATATATTTTTTAATGAAATAATAGCAAAAATAAAGAATATTTATGTATATTTATGTATTTATAAAATAATATACATTAAACAAATTGTTGATAAATGTGTTTCAGGACTAATTTAAAAATATCAGGCTTGATGACTATGGATTCAGGCATGTTCCAGTGTTTAGCATCAAATCCTGCTGGAAATATTCAATCATCAGCATTTTTAAACGTTTTTCATGCAGGTAATAAATTACCTTGGTTTTTCTATTATTTGTTTTGTTCATTAGCGATGCTTGGATTTTATGATTATGAGATTTATTGATTTTATTTATCAATAACTAAATAACTGAAGTGCATTTAGTAAAATATTAAATGTGTAAATATAATTTATTTTTTCATAAGTATCAATATTTTTAATTTTTCAATTTATCTGTTTATTTTATTATTAACATACCTAATGTAATAGAATATACTTAAAATGCTTTATTTACTAAAAATTTGTATATATAACTAAAAATTACAATACATAACTACTAAATAAAACCAGCATAAATATGTATGCGATATATAAACCATATTTGTGTTTCAAGTTTCAACTTAAATATCTAATTTTTGTTTTACGTGTACAATATTTATTATTTTCTATGTGTTACACATATTTGTTGAGTTAGTATTTCACATAGAAATCTCATCAATGTAATATAACTGTTAATCGTTGAACAGATTTCCTAGATTATTTATATTAGTTAAACTTAAAATGTTTACAATAATTGTTACCAATGTAACATTAAATAAAAAATAATCATTCGTGAATAATAATAATGATGCACAAACTAAAATAACTGTTAATAATTTATTTTTTAAATCATTCACTTTATTGTATTCTATGTATTAATTTTTATTATTATTTATTACTTTTGCTTTGTGTTGTTTTGTAGTCATTTATTTATTTTTGTTTTGCGTTTTGTTTTGTTTGTTTTGCTTTTGTAAACAGACAATTTACCTAGTTCAAACAGTTCTACAAATATTAGTAATGATTTCATCAACTCATTCTCTGCAGCTGAAAAACCCAAGGATTTAAAAAACAATCTACCATCATCCCCGAGAGCATTAGAAGCAAGCTTTGTATCATCTAGGTTAGCCACTTTAACTTGGATAAATCCACTTAAACCTAATGGCGAGATATTAACTTACACAATATTTTATCAACAAGAAGGATCAGACAGGTTAATATTTTTATAATAATTTTTATATTTGTTTTTAATTGGTTTATTGTACATTTTGCAGAGAACGTATGACAAACACAACACAAACTGAAATAACTATTAATGAATTAATACCCAACAAGCATTATCTCTTTAGAGTTGTAGCACAAAATAAATATGGTATAGGCGAAAGTTCACCGCGTTTGAAAGTAATGACCAAGGCAGAAGTTAATTTACCTGGACAACCATTCAACGTAACTGCTAAAGCAGTTACACCTACATCAATAGTTGTATCTTGGTCTAAACCAGAACACGGCATTGAAAATTTGAATGAGTACAAATTATTTTATATGGAGGTACAAATAGATAGTAATGAGTYAAATAAAAAACATAAATCTCTATCATAAATATTTTATATTTACCAGGATTTAACTTCTGAAGAACAATTTTTCATAACAAAACATACAGAACATGAAATAAGTGACTTAAATCCATATACCAGGTATAAAATTTGGGTTGTGGCATACAATCAAAATGGTCCAGGGATGAACTCTTTAGAAATGGTCGTTATAACAAAACCTTCAGCTCCATCTCAACCACCACAAAATATTGTTGTTGAAGCAATTTCTTCTACGGTATTCATAAAACATTTTATTATAAACTAATTGATTATAAATGTATGCTATTTTTAAATTTAGGAAATTAATATTAGATGGGAGCATCCACCAAAATCCACCCAAAATGGAGTGATAACAGGGTATAAAATTCGATACAAAAAACCAGATAGAAAATCATCTGGTGACACCATCACAACAGCTGGCGATAATTTAGAATATCAAATTTCTGGTTTAGACAAAAGTTCAGTAAGTAAAATCTTTTTTAACTACTTATTTTCTTTAAGCATTTTTCTCTTTTATTTCTCTATGTATAAATAAAGCATACATTTTTATAAATCAATATTTAATAWTTGGTATTCAATGAATTTATATTTATTTCAAATTAATTCATACGTGAAATGTATAAAAATCGATAACTATATTGATAGAAAAAATATCTAGTTTGCGGAATATAATATAAGCAAATTTCGGAACAGCCGGGATTTTAGTACGCCGCTCCCTCTTGTGTCCAGGCCAGGTGAAGACGAAAAAACAAAATAATAATAGAGCGATATAGCTTAAGAAATACTGCTTGTAGGCGTTGGAAATAGAATTGCTAACAAAGCATATCTYGACAATCAAGCGWAATGATGCATATCCGACAGAGCTTGATGACTACCAAAAAAAAAAAAAAATAAAACTAACCAACCATYAATATCTGACACAGCTAAAAATATTGTTTGTTGGTTTGGGAGACCCTTCAGATTATCACCGGCCCTGTTCAGGCTATAAGATTACCACCCATTCAGTAAAAAGAATGARTCAGTGTAATCCAAGTTAGTGTCTGGCAAATATGGTTCTTACTGTACGAGTTGCAGCGTAGTAGAAAGCAATTGAAAAATCAATGCAACCTCAACTATCCACAAACAGCTGAAGGACTGGTTTACTTACTTTGTCTTGGTTACCATCTATATTGGTTTTAAAAGGTCTTCATCTATTCATAGTTGCGGCGACGGAATTCCGTATCATTATGGCATGTCTATATCATTGAATTATCATATTTTATTCTATATTTTTGACATTAAATAGTTTTTGTTTAATATTGGTATATGTTCTTTGAATCAATGTACGTTGAATATATTTTTTTTGACAAAGCTAGTTGGTTATAATATTTTATTAACCATTTCAGACTTATCAAGTTCGTTTATGGACTTTAAATACTGTTGGAAGTAGCCCACCTTCAGAGTGGTTTACAGTTTTAACATTTGATAAAAATCTTAGAGAAGATACTGTTCCAGATGCACCTACTAATTTCAAAGGTTAGCTTTAATTTTACAATTTTAATTTATTTAATTTTTCTCAAATATTTTATTTTAAAATAGCTCGAGCTTTTTCCAATTCAGTATTGGTAACCTGGTCTCCGCCAAAAGATAAAAGTATTATTGTGAGAGAGTATACACTAGCATGGGGTAAAGGTGTTCCTGATGTGTACAAGGAAAAATTAAATCCAAAAATACGACAATATGAAATTAAAAATTTAGGTGAATATTAAATTCCATACTTATTTTTTATTTAAAACTATATTACATTTATAATCATTTTTAGAACAAAATGCTGAATATGTACTGAGTTTAGCTGCTGTAAATGATATGGGTTTTGGACCAATAGTATACCTAGTAACAACTATAAAAGAACAAAATATTGTAAACACATTAGAGGAATCATCAAACCCAATATTACCACCCATTGGTTTAAAAACTAATGTTATATCTCCAAATGCCATAGAAGTATCATGGACTGATAATTCTCTTTTAGATGATATTGATGTAATATACAAATATATAATATTTTTAGAAACAAACCAGTTAATTATGCTTTTAATATTAATTTTAATTACAGTCAAATGTTGAAGATGTACGTCTTTACGTTGTGCGATACAAATCATCCTATTCAACTAACAAAGCACGTTATAATTATGTAAACACTACTGAACTTTCTTGCATTATTAATGAACTAAAACCTAATACTCAGTATGAATTTACTGTAAAATTAATAAAGGTAAATTTTTGGTATTCAGTTAGTATATTATTTTCATGAGAGAGGTTATCGTTAATGTGTTGACTAAAACATTCTCATAAGTGCACACTCCCGCCAGAAATACATACCTTACAACAACTTCTGAAACATTGTTGCATCTGCTATGTACATTTTGCCAATTGTCATGTGTCATTAGAGTGGGGTAACAATGACGTTGGGGGATRGTGGTAGTGAGAGATGTTGCAACAGAGAGCAGTCTATATACACTAAACGGCTAGTACACTCTCTCGTGGCCTGGAACATGGGACATTTATTTGAAATTAAATAATTTGTATGACTAGGGCCAATTTGAAAGCGCATGGAGTTTACTCGTTATGAATAATACTCAAGAAGCAAAACCAGCATCGCCGCCAAGAGACCTAACTGCAGTTAWAAATGATGATAAGCCTCAATCTATAACATTAAATTGGCAACCGCCAAAATTTTCAAATGGGCAAATTATTGGTAAGTAATTTATAACTAAAAAATTTCAATGACTATTAAACTATATTTTGCTATAGCATATATGATTTTGTATACAACTGATGATACAAGTTCAGACAATGAATGGATAACTGAAACAGTTGAAGGAGAACTTATGTCTTACTCGATCAAAGGACTGACACCAAGTACTAATTATTTTTTCAAAATTCAAGCTAAAAATTCTATTGGTTATGGTCCATTTAGTCCTACTATAAGTATTAAAACATTGCCAGGTACTAAATAAAAATTTAATATACTGTTTTCGGCATGATCAAGTTAACTTGTTCATATTTAATTTTGAAATATTTTTAGGTGGTAACACTTACAATGATGGAACTTCCCTAAAAGGTATTATGATTATTTTTTTTGTATTATATATATGATTTTATTTTTGTTTAATCTCATTGTACAGATGGAAAAAGTGGTATAAACAACACAACCATTTTATATATACTGATTGCGTGTTGTTTGTTACTTATATCATGTATTGGAATTGGAATCGCCTTATTATGTTGTAAACAAAATAAACCATTAAGAAATCGAAGTAAAAAAGGGTAAATTTAATTTTAATTTTGTAGTTAGTTAATAAAAAAATCATAATATATTCTTATTATAATTATATCATATTCTTATGATTTGAATTATATAATGTAATATCTTACTTGTTTCAAACAGCAAACTATTTGTATTCATTTTAGTATTCTTCTTTAAATAATAGTAGTTAACTAATACTTAAATAATTATTTTAAATAAATTAAACTACAAATTTTTGATACTATTTTCCTTAAATATCTAATAAAATAAACATTAAATATTCTGATATTTTTTAAAATCTATTTTATAATTGTATTTAAAATAACATAATATTTAAAAAAAAACGTCACAGCCACATGTGTGTGTACTCTTCGTCCTGCACATGTAACCTCGACATGATACATTTTTGTTCACCAGTTCAATAGTCTGCTGTTTGTTGTTTTTCATATTGTTAGGGTGAATTGATCTATTATAAAATTTAAATTTTAGATTGTTATCTATGCTCCACATAAGTTTTTGTTGATATTATTCTTAAGTAAGTTATGACCTTCTTGAATCTATAAATTTTAAAATGATTATAACTATCTACCAAAGACATAWAAAAAAATGCAAATATGACATAAAATTACAAATAAAGGTTTTAAATCAATAAAAATAAAAATAAATTAAAAATCAAAAAAGCTTAAATAACTGAAAACTATTATATTGTACTATTAGAGCATATTAGATATCAAAATTAAATAAATAACAATTATCGGATACTAAATATTTGTATTTGATCGTCTACTAAAGTGATTGGATTGAATTTTAAACGAGTCAAATCTTCTGCAAATAAGTCATCAGGAAGATCTAATCATAACTTACTTAAAAATAATGATATCATTAAAAGCCCACGAAAGGTCCTTAATAATAATGTTACCTTCAAATTTTGTAATAGGCCAATTCACTCAAATATTATAATTAAATTCACACCATTGCAAATTTGCACCTGGTGAACAAACATTTGTAAAAATGTCATACCTTTATAAGACAGATTCAACACATGCGACAAGTGGTGCGTTCTTTTAAAATTGACTGTTAAAATATATTATTTTTTTTTTTAACTCGTAATGTTTTTAGCACTTATTATTTAATAATGCAAATAAATTATTAAATTTTTGTTTGGTAATTAATCATCTACAAACAAAACAATAACAAATATATGTATTTTTTTATTACATAGCTATGCCTTCTGTACTTAATAATAAATTATAAATGACTTGAGAGAACATTTTATTTTGATAATAATACTTATGATACCATAATGGCTCAACTAATAATTTTGATACAATGTTATAACAGCAATGTCTCTTACTCCACAAAATTAAAGTAACGAATGCCATTGAATTATTGTGGAACATACAATGTATTATTTCAACTATGTATAGTTCTGCTAGCCAAATGCTAGTGCTAATAGCTAGTGCTAAATGAAAAAAAATCAAAAACATACCACTGTTGCGTTATAAATTTTTAATTCTATATAAAATTATATCATTGCCTCAGTTAATCAATTTTGGTCGGTTAACACCATATGTACTGAATACATATTACTATTATTATTTAATTTTAAATTGTTACTTTTATAATAATTAGTGTGTGAACTTGAAAAATTTTATGTGAGTTATTTTTAATAGATGACATTTAATTTTCACAAAAGGTACATAAAAGGATCGACCGGTTATAATTCAAAGGGAGTAGCTCAGTCCCCAAGCATTAAACCGCCAGATTTATGGATACACCACGATCAAATGGAATTAAAATCAATGGAAAAATCCTCTCAGGGCTCATTAGATACTAGTTCTGGATGTGGTCAAGGAAGTTCAAACACTTATGATGGCCCTGACACCCGTGTTACCATACATCATGTACCACAGACAACAAATTCTTTAGAAAAAAGTAACTACGTTTCGTCTTATGTTGGCAAGTATAATTACATAATAATCATTTTTTCTCTATTACATAAATTGCATTAAATTAGGAATGAATCAAACTTCATATTTTTTTAAACATAGAAATTTAATTAAAAACAAATATCTTTTTATTTTTATTTACTTTTTATTTTTAACATTAATGAAAGATAATGTGCTTAAAATGTTTGATTAATTTATTTTATCCTCCAGTTATATGGCTTTAGATATGTATTATTTTGCATGTTAAGTTTTATTCATTTTTATTTTACATATAATAAGGTAATACAATTATGAAACCTTTATTGTTGGATGAAAAAGTYTCCACATTAAAAAAACGCTTTATACCCAAACCTGTTGTTTTACCTGTTGATTCATTTGATTCTATTTACAATGATCGTAAGTTCAAATTATTTAATAATTTGATATTTTTAAAATTTGTTAGTTAATGAGAAATATTTTAAAATAAATGAATGCTCTTTTTTTAGCTATGGCAGCATTGTCTAATCAAGAATCTCGTACACTTCATCCAAAATCTCAATATGGAACTACTACGAGAGCTCATGTAACTGTAGATTTAACAGCTGGTAAAATCRAATATAACTCACTTAATTAATCAATTCTTATTGTAATTATATTTATTTATTTTTATTAGGAACTCCAGAAAATAATTATATTGTTCAAGCTACTACAGTACCAGATAAATTTGAGTCTATACCAGTATCATCAACTGCAAATCTACCRCAACTGCACACGTGCGTCTTTTTATTATACTTAAATTCATTATATAAAAAACACATACAGATATTAAAGAAACCATTTATATCATTTATCAACAATTGTTTGTTTTTACTTGAGTCATGAATCATCATTAAATTTAAATTACTGTTATGTTACATATAGCATTTTTATTTTAACAAAAAACACAGACAAATATTGATAATATAATCATTGACTTTTATAATATATAGATAAGCTATACTGTTGTTATTATTGGAAGCCTCTAATTGCATTAAACCGCTTTAAATATTAACTATCAGATGGCTTATCTGTAATTATAAATCCAATACTATTACTACTAATATGATATATAATATATAATGTAATTACCTTAATTCTAATATACTGATTAATTTGATTATAAACATTAAATTAGTTTTAAAAATAATGAAGTTTGTGCCATGTATAAAATCATATTATTTTGTAAAAAAAATCTTAATCGTTCAAATTTTAGTTTTAGAGAGGTTTTTTACTTAATCAAAAGTCACAGAGTGTGCTCATTAGTAATTTTTTTTTATATATATATATTTATAGAGGATTACTAAATTCTAGCGAAAAAAGACAACAAGGTCATCCTTTAAAAAGCTTCAGTGTTCCTGCGCCTCCACCTCAGTCAGCGCCATCTACTCCTCAGCAAAAACACATTGGTAATCAAACAAAATTTCAGTGTTATTTTTCATAATTATTGATGTATAAATATGTAWKTTTTTTTAGTGACAGTCAGACCTCAAGGTTCGTCTAGTCCATACAAAAAAAATATCTATTCGGCTATAAATAATTCACCATCCAGCACATCTGTGTCTAGTGGTCCTAAAACGTGGAAGTCACCATTAACTGGTTCAAATCAAAGAGATACTATAACTGAAGTAGAATCTCTTAGTAAAATACAAGTAATGACAAATTCTTAACTTATTACTTTTAAATATTTAAATTACATTTTTTGTCATTTTAAGTTGGAATAACATACTGACTTAAGTTTCTGTTTAAGTATAGCTTTATTTTGTAAATCATCATAATTCAATATTCATTATAATTAATTAATAAATCAATAGTATTGTTTTGTTTACTATGTGCTTACTGTTTAAAAGTTTTATCCTCTGATGTAAACTATTAAATAATTAATTTATATTATTTATATACGTATAATTTCATTTGCATTTAGGAAATAAAATTTAACTTATCATTTGACTTTTTATTTAATCATAAACATTGCTTTCRGGAAATGCTCTTATGTCTTATGATTCAATTTTAAAAACGATTTTCGACAAATATTTACAGTTAATTTGTGCAATAGCGTAACCAGGGATTTTGTTTAGGGGGCAGGGAGGGGRGCTGTCTCGCAAAAAATACAGATTTAATATTTTTTCTATTTACAATTTTTATACCTAAAATTATGTTAGTAATAAATTAAGCAACAAATTATATAGTAGTATAAACATATTTTTTTTTATATTGTAGCACTATCTTTAAACTGCATCCTTCTTGGGGTATGATTTTAGTTATTAGTACAACTTTAAAACGTAGGCTCTGAGGGTCGTATAGTCAAAGTACCGTATTATACATTTATTAACCGCGGCTGTGTGTTGTTTCATAATTAAGAGTATGTTATACCCGCATATGTTTTCTCCATCTTACAAGTGTGTAACATTGAAAATTTTATGCTCAGAAGATCATGTTTAGCTCCGTTAAGTTAAAATTTAGAGTTAGTTGACCTCCTATAAAAATTAAATGCAAGATCTGGGACTTCTCATGGGTTTTTTTTAATATATTTTAATTTTAAAGCGAGTATGAGTATTCTAAGTTATTCAAACAATTTACAATTTTAAAATTTTCATAACTCAATTAAAAAAATTAAAAAATATAAAAATCCTATAATATGCCCTATATAATAATATTACCTTCAATTTTTATAAAAGATCAATTCACTATACATTTTAAACCAAAGATTCTAAACATGATTTATACATGTTAWATTTATGAGAATTATGATATATAAGTATATGCTGGTATAATGTCCTCTTAATCATGATAATACAATAATATTATAAAGATTTTAGATTTAAGTTTTGATAAGTGTAATATAACTATAATATATGTTTACTACACAATTTTTTAATATAATTTAAAACTTATGGTTATAATGGCTAAAATAAACTCAGTCAATGAGGGGTAGGGGTATTTGCGTTCTTCTACTAAACAAACTTATTGCATTTTTTACTCATGTCTCATGATACTCATGCGATAATTTGATATATGTTACTACGTAGACTGTCCAATGATTAWGATACCAAATTATTATATTCTGTTCGAATTTTCCAGACTGGGGATTAGGGTGCTTTTGGGTCATTGAGTCTTGTTTGTTGTAAGGATTAGAATAATGAACCCATGTCTCATCTCCTGTAATTAGGTGCTCGATACAGCTTTTATTATTACGATCACTATTCAAATTCTCAAGGGATATACAAACGTGGTTGTTTTTGTGGTCTGGTACAATGATTTTGGTAATTAAACACACACAAACCTTATAAAAATGTAATTTCTCGTGAACAATTTCATGTTTGGTGTGGATCGAGTTGTGTAACTATTTCCCTTATTTTGACCTATATTTGATCGTAGCAATTTTTCAACTGCTTAAAAGGTTTTGGCAGTAGACATGCTTATTGRTTGACTACTTTTTGATTTATCTTCATCACTGTCTCGACCAGAATTAAATTTTGTATTCCAAACTGATTCACTTTTTCGAAACATTTTGAAAATTTAAAAATCAAATGACGGTGTGAACTTTTTCTTTTGAGCAACATAGTAAAAACTATAATATTTAAAATTTCTAAAAGCATTTAGCATCACTTAGAATGTAATAAAGATAATATTTTTAATTTTTAAATAACAAGATTAGTTGGTTGGTTTTAAATAATAATACATCCTATTTATTTGATAATATTTTTATAATTTGATATACTAACAAATGTTCTAATACAAAACATTTTATTCACAGACTTCTTATAGCACAGAAGAACTCAATCAAGAAATGGCAAACTTGGAAGGTCTTATGAAAGATCTAAGTGCAATTACTGCTTCCGAATTCCAGTGTTAGACACAGTATTTTTATTTCCATTTAGATCTGTTAATTATAAAAAAAATTACATTTTAAGACTAAAATATTATTTAAATTTAAGTTAAGTATTAAATGCAGAATATCATAAAGACTGATCTCTGATGTTCAAAGTGACTGTTTTAAACCACCAGCATACATTTTTAGAGTTGTGTGTATTTTTATTTATTTAGACAGTTGTTTTTATTAAAAAAAAAACAAATTAATATTTATATGAATTTTTCATTGCTGTTTCGTTTGTGATAATGAAAAAAAGTGATTTTGGTAAATTAGCAATAACTCAATATGTTCTCATTTAGGATTTATATAGTTTATATATTCTTACAAGTTAGTTCTGGAAATAAAGTGAAATATTTATATCACGTGCAATTAATAAGTATTTTATAAAATAGMGAAATAAATAATTTATAAAGTAAGTTTTTTAAATACAATCAAGTTTTTAACATACCCCTGTTTATGCACATTTCCCATATTCATGGTCTAACATTCTTAAAATTGAAAATTTTAGTATTCAATATTTTTCATCTTTAATAAAATTGTATCATTTTTTATATTATCACAATATGTATATATAACGTGTATTATTCATGTAAAATTAAAGTTTAAATTATTAAAATGAAGTAATATAACATTTATAAGCCGTTATTGATTGGGTTAGGTTTATCAGTAATACATTCCTGTGATTTTCGATAATCATATTCAACTATAAATGACAAAAAACTAATATTATTTTTATCAAAAGTACACAATATTAATAATAAGGACTAAAATAATCTACACCCATATATTGCATAAAAATTGTGATTGATAATAATAATTAACTATTTTATTGAATAATTTTTCAAATCAGATAACTAAGTGTATTATTATATTTTACAAGCAGTCTTAAAATTGTTTTATGTTATATCACAAATATTAATTAGATTTAATGAATTTCTTTTGACGGTGAACAAGTATTATAAAAACACTTAGTGATGTTCTCGTCTTTTTATTCCAAATTATTTTTTTCTTAGTGATTTATTTTAACAACATTGAATTTAATCAAGTTTATAATTATTAAATTTCTAAATTCAATTAAAAATAGATTTTTAATTTATTTTATTTATGGTGGTTAAATCAAAGTCATCAAAAATGTATACTAGTCAACTGGTGGTATAACTGTGTGAGAGAATATTTTTATGCAATATTTTACAAAACACTATTCTGTAKAAGTATACTTCTATTAATTAAATATTTGTTACTCAATTGTAATTCATAATAATTAAATTGAATACAGATTTAATTTATGTAATCAGTTTAACTAGCCACTATTTTACCAAGATATAAGATTTTTATTTTTTATTTTTTATTTTTATATGATGCACTTGGTATTATATTTTTTTCCAGTTTCAACTTGTATTAATATTTTTTAAAGATAGTTTTCTTTTTATCTCTTTTAGTTTTTAATATAATACTGCCTTCAAAATGCAACTATCGCAATAATGAATGATTGTTTTGTATTTTATGTAAGATAAATGTAAATTAACTTTCTCCCATTTTTGTAAATACCTATCTAACATTACAAATATCATTCATATAATATCTCTCGACAGTTCATTTTAATTTTAACTAAAACTTAAGTTATTATACATATTCATAAATGATATTCTGTATGACAATTACATAATAGCAATACATATTACATGTTTTTTTTTAAACTCGTTGTAATCAAATTTTAATAATTAAAAAAAATAAGATATTTATAAATATGTACCAGTGATATTTGCTTTATGATATAATATGATGTATAATTTATTTTTTAATTTGCTGTTTAATTTATTTTATATTTTTATATT